AGGGCTAACATTAACCATCTAGCCACTCGCAGAGAGCTAGACGCAATGGTTGAGGCACTTGGAGAGATCGTGCAGAAATACACTGACCAACTCCTCAAGGAAGCCCCAGCAAGCAACGAAGCTATAAGAGACTGCACAAAGAAACTTGTCAAAGAAGGTGATAACTTCATAAATGAGATCTATCGCTGCATCTCTAAGATGAAATGGGCCACAGAGATGGATATCAACACTGCCTCTGTGATTGCTGAGGAGGTCATTCAAAAGATGGAGAGGGCGGCTTCCAAAGTTTTGAAATGATTGAAGAAGGCTCCCCTTATTATTTGCAAGACAGAGGCCACTAAATCCATGATGATCAAGGAGGTGATGACCATGATCGTCATGAGGGAGAGAAGAAGACAGAGAAGAAGACAGAGGAGCCAAAGAAGACAACCTCTGCCAGACCACTAAAAATAGTGGACTCTGCTGCTGCCCTGTTCTCAAAATACAAATCTCTAGAGCCTAAGGGGAAAGGCAAGGGTAAAGCAGTAGAGGAGTCGCCACAGAAGGGGTCAAGCTCTAAGACGCCAGAGGAGATAAATGAAGAAGAGTATGATGACCCGGATCTCGTTCGAGCTTTAAAGGCATCTTTGACAGAGGCACAGGCAAGAAAGGGCAGAGCCCCTATCCCCAGAGCTGGAGAAGGATCTTCCTCTAAAATGGCGAAGGAGGAAACGTCCACGGGTACGTTTGACGCTCTGGTAGGAACTGTCAAGCCAATCCTACCAGAGGGTTCTACCCAAAGGCCGATACTAGAAGAAGAAGAAACCAGAATGCCAGAATCTGCCACAGTGGGGAGGGTCTCTGAGATACTTGAATCTATGAGCAAGATTCCTATGCAGAAAGTGCGCACAGAGTCCGTAACCACTGTGGAGGAGATTCTGTGGTGGCGTTACTCTATTGTGGACACAGAGCCCCCTTACGATCCAGAGGTTACAGGTATGCCCTCTGCTGCTGCAAAGTTCCACTTCTCAAAACTCACAAGGCCATGCGAGCAGGTCTTCTCAGAGCACGTGATAACTTCTCTTGAAACCATATCTCCGAGGACTATGCTGAAGAAGACCGTGCTTTATTCTCAGTATGTGGTGAAGAGGGATGACGGCAACCTCTATACTTTCACAGATGCTGACCTCCACAACCTTTGTGTATTTGACCTTATCTTCTTGCACAAAAATCTTAACAAGTACATGGAAAGGAGGTCAAGCTATTCGATTTCTCTCAGAAGGCTGATTGAGGTGATGCGTGCTCAAGTAAAGTTCTACAACAAGAAAGATTTCAACATTGCGATGAGGTTGGCCTAACCAGTTTTGAAGATTTCCCCTCCAAAGAACAGGCCTAGTTGGTTRCTTAGGTCTCATCCAAACACCATTATCCACAATCCCATCTTTGGGTTTGTTTTCCTGGACAAGGATGAGATTCTAAGGTTCTTTGATCCGGCAGAGGTAAACAAGTATTCGACAGAGTCTCTTGAGTGGGTGTTCAACCTAGTAGCAGCAGAGGTGCACATAGGACATCTAAGGGCAGACGAAGTGATTGGTCTTCTGGAAACAATCAAAGTTCAAGTCTCCTTCAGAGAGTGGATATTCAAAGTCTACAAAACTATCAAGTCAGATCTGCAATTTGCCGTAGATGACTATCCAAACTCTGCTGTGGACTAATTCTTGTAATAGTATAGGCCTGAGCAACAATTTTTTTTTCTTTTCTTCAATTCTTTCAATTAATGTAATTCTTTTCAGAGGATGAGTTTAATCTCCTCTTGTAATTCTTTCATTTAGTCATTTCTTGCAACCTTTTGTCTAAATTTACTTTTCCCTACTTAGGGGGAGATTTTTAGCTCTATTATTCACTTCTTGTAAAAGTATGAAAAAGTATTCTGCAAGTGTTAACAGAAGGGTATCTTCCACATAAGACAACAGAGGACTAGCAACAGAAGCTGTTTCATCGTGCAAGTAAAGTGTAACAGAACCTCTGATGTCTCTCACAGAGGTTCTGGAAAATGGTCATCTGGCAATAAGATCATACAAGTCAATTACAGCAGAGCCTCTGAGATGGCTCACAGAGGGTCTGCGGATTAGTCTTCTGTGAAGATCCTGTTCTACTGTTTTTCAAAGGTTGTTTGCTGCATGTGCTTCTCACGTAACTAGGTCTTTAATAGACTTTATTTGGATGGCTTAGATGATTTCTCTCTTTTAAGATCTTGTMAGYAAGGTCGTTAGGGACTAGTATAAATAGCAGCTTAGGCCTTTGTAAATTGTGTGCTTCTGCATTGTAATCGTCTTATTTTCAATTGAATGAATTGAAAAACCTTTGAAGCTATTCTCCTGTGTTCATCTTCTTCATCATCTTAACTGTTTATTCTTGGTTTATTTTACTCTGTTTTGTTCTTAATATTGTTTCCGCTGCACTGTAATCGTCCTAGAGTTCATTCAGAGTAATAGATCAATATCAAAGCTGAATTTACAGGTCCATCAAACGTATTTTTAATGACGCTTAATTCCAGGGGTAGCTTTAGTTTGTACGCCACTGGACCAATTCTTTCAGTGATCTCGAATGGTCCAGTATACCTAGGGCTTAATTTCCCCTTTTTCCCAAACCGCACTAACCCTTTCCACGGTGATACTTTCAAAAGCACTTTATCCCCAATTTGAAACTCAAGAGGCTTCCTCCGGTTATCCGCATAACTTTTTTGATGATCCCTGGCAGCCTTAAGTCTTTGTCTGATTATTGATATCTTATCAGTAGTTTCCTGCACAATGTTTGGTCCCGTTAGCTGACTATCCCCAATCTCCAACCAACTAAGTGGTGATCGACACTTACGCCTGTATAAGGCTTCATATGGCGCGAATTGAATAGTAGTGTTAGCTGTTGTTGTAAGAGAACTCTACCAATGGTAAATGAATGTCCCAACTTCCTCCAAAATTGATCACGCATGCTCGAAGTTTATCTTGTAAAGTCTGAATTGTGCGTTCACTCTGCCCGTCCATTTGGGGATGATAGGCGGTGCTCAAATTCAGCTGTGTACCCAGTGCCTTCTGAAGTGATAGCCAAAACCACGATATGAAGCGGCTATCTCTATCCGAGATAATAGAAATAGGTACTCCATGTTTTGCAACAATTTCGTTAACGTAGATTTGAGCAAGCTTCACCAGTTTAAAATCTTGACGAATAGGAAGGAAATGTGCATATTTTTTCAGTCGATCCACTATTACCCAAATCGCATCATGACCTATAACAGTTCTAGGCAGTTTGGTGATAAAATCCATGGAGATTTGTTCCCATTTCCATTATGGGATCTCGGGTTGTTGTAACAATCCGGATGGCTTCTGATATTCTACCTTGACCCTTGAGCAAGTCAAACATTTCCCAACATACAAAACTATATTCTTTTTTATTCCTGGCCACTAATAGTACTCTCACAGATTCTTATACATCTTATCCGCCCCTGGGTGAATCGAATACCCAGATCTATGGGCTTCCTCCAAAACTAACTCTCGTAGGTTGTTAATCTTCGGAATCCAAACTCTGTCCTTGAAGTAACGCACTCCATCCGACTTAGTCCTAAATTTATGCTCCAGATTATTCAGGGTCTCGCTCTTCAAATTTTCTGCCTTCAGCGCTTCATCTTGAGCTTCAAGAATTCAAGTCTTCAAACTCGTCTGGACAAGCGTTCCCAGAGCTCGTACTCGAGAGGGTTTTATCCTTTCCTTCCGGCTTAGAGCATCTGTCACTATGTTGGCCTTACCTGGGTGGTATCGGATTTCACAATCATAATTGCTGAGTAACTCCACCCATGTTCTCTGTCTCATATTGAGCATCTTCTGATCAAGGATATGCTGGAGACTTTTGTGGTCGGTAAAAACAGTACACTCGGTGCCGTATAAATAATGCCTCCATATTTTGAGAGTGAAAACCGCAGCTCCTAGCTCTAGGTCATGAGTGGTATAGTTCTTCTCATGGGCTTTGAGTTGCCTCGAAGCGTATGCTATAACCTTGTCCTTCTACATCAATACGCAACCCGAACCTTGGCGGGATGCGTCATAATATACTACGAAGTTTTCGGTTCCTTCTTGCAAAGCCAGGATTGGCGCGTTGCATAGCTTATGCTTTAGCACTTGGAATGCGTCCTCTTGGAGTTTTACCCTAAACAAATTTCTTACCTTTATTGGTCAATGCTGTTAATGGTTGGGCAATCTTTGAGAAACTCTCTATAAATCGTCGATAATAACCCGCCATACCCAGAAATTGACGAATTTCTGTCGGGGTCTTTGGTGCTTCCCACTTCTTTATGGCCACAACCTTAGCCGGATCCACATGAATTCCTTTTTTGCTAATCACATGACCGAGAAAATGACCTCCCGAATCCAGAATTCACACTTTGATAATTTAGCATACAATTCTTGCTCTTTGAGCAATTCTAACATCATTTTCAGATGCTGCTCGTGATCTACCCTACTCCGTGAATAAACCTGGATATCATCAATGAATACGATCACAAACTTGTCTAGATACGGTCTATAGATCCTATTCATTAAATCAATAAATACCGCCGGCGCGTTGGTCAGACCGAAGGGCATAACTAGAAACTCGTAGTGCCCATATCGAGTCCTAAAGGCCGTCTTAGGGACGTCCTCCTCATGAACTCTTAGCTGATGATACCCTGACTGAAGGTCAATCTTAGAGAAATAACATGCTCCTTGCAACTGATCGAACAGATCCTCAATTCGGGGGAGGGGATATCGGTTCTTGATCGTCAACTTGTTTAACTCCCTATAATCTATGAACATTTGAAATGACCCATCCTTCTTTTTAACGAACAGGACTGGAGCTCCCCAAGGTGAAGAGCTTGGCCGGATGAATCCTTTGTCCAGAAGTTCCTGAAGTTGACCTGACAGCTCTTGCATCTCGGCCGGTGCTAAGCGATATGGAGCTTTAGCAACAGGTGCCACCCCGGGAACTAGGTCAATTCAGAATTCGACCTGTCTAGATGGAGGAAGTCCTGACAAATCATCCAGAAATACTTTTATATAATTTTTCACCATAGGAATATCCTGAATATGTTTTTCCTCGGATTTCCTTTCCGATACATGAGCCAAGAATGCAACGCACTTTTTCCTCATATACTTGCAAATCTTCACACATGATACCATCTTTAAACTCTTTCCAGGTTTTTCCCCTTTTATAGATAGGGTTTCTCCATCTTGGTAAGGTATTCGCACAATCCTCTCAAAGCAACAAATCTCCGCTTGATTCTTAGACAACCAGTCCATTCCTACCACTACATTGAAACTTCCCAATTTAATTGGGATAAGATCAATGCTAAATAACTTATCAGCTAAATTTAAAGTACAACCCAAGATTACGTCCCTAACCTTTATTTCTTGGCCATTGGCAAATTTGATAGTGTAAGCATCTTTCAACTTCCTCGATTTCAGATTTATCAACAGCCTAAATTCTAGGGAAACAAAACTTCTATCTGCTCTAGAGTCAAATATTACTGAGGCATAGAGGTTATTTAAAAGAAACGTACCTGTCACAACATTAGGGTCTTGACGTGCCTCTTCGGCTCCCATTGCAAATTCCCTTCCTTGAGCTTGGCCTCCTTGATTTCCCTGACTGGTTTGCCTTACCTGGTTTCCAGCATTGTTGATGCTCGATCCTCTAATTATCCTTGGGAAATTATTCCTGAAGTGATCCTGACTTCCACAATCATAGCATACCCTTATTCCATCCTTGATTTCCTTTTCCCCTCTACAGAACTTGGCGATATGACCCAAACGATTACATTTGCCACATGTAGGACAGGCCCTTGCATGGTGATAATTACATTTGCTGCATTTTGGAAGTGGCCGACTAAACTGCCCCGGTTCCTGAGCCTTTACTCCAAAATTCTTCACCACTCTTTGGTTCTTGCCTAAATTGTTGTTGGCCCTTTTCCACGATTGCCCCTCTAGTTTCCTCTTTCCACCAAATTTGTCTTGCTTTAAAATCCCTGATCTAACTGCATCATTTGTCAGACGGTTTGCCAAAATCATCGCGTTTTGTATGGTGGTTGGGTTTGCCGACGTGACCATCCCTCGGATTTCAGGTGCCAATCCTCAGATGTACCGATCAATTCGTTTCTCCTCCGGAGTGACCATATGAGGTACTAACTTGGCAAGCTCATGAAAACGAGCAGTGTATTTGTCTACCTCCATTCCAATCATGGTGTGATTCCAGAATTCAACTTCTAGCTTCTGAATTTCGCTCTTAGGACAATACTCTTCGGTGAGTAACTTTTTGAGTTCTTCCCATGATAGCTCATAGGCAGCTTGGCGACCACGGGTTTGAACTTGAATGTTCCACCAAGTTAAGGCTCTACCCTGGAGTTGGCATGTTCCATACTCCACCTTACAATCATCAGAGCACTTGCTAATATGGAGTACCGACTCCATGCTCTCAATCCATGATAGTAATCCAATTGCACCTTCTTTGCCATGAAACTCCTTAGGCTTGCAGGACATGAATGTCTTGTAACTGCATCCTCTATCGTTGGTGTTACGGTTCTCCTTCCTAACGAGATTCTCGGTGCTAGGGCCTCCCTCGCTCCTTTGACTTGCATTAATGCCCGCTGTAACCTGAGTGACAATAGTTGGTATCGCCTCCCGGATTTGCTGAGCTATCAACTGCGCTATATCAGGTGTTTGGCTTTCAGGATTCCCTCTCATACTGCGTGCGCTCCTTCTTGGGGGCATGGTTCTAGAATATGTTCACAAACGTTTATTTGATTAGAATTTCTTCTAAAAGACCATACTTATTCTTCAATACCTAAAATCACAACTTGAAATTCACAACAATGATAATCATAAAAAAAATTTACATCCCACAAAAACGGCTTTTCATACATAGTTTGAATAATGTCTATTCAGCAACGTCAAAGATTCATCGCTTATCAAAAGATTTCGACCCGTAGGTCACTAATTCAGTAGAAAGTAGTAAAAAGCACACATTTTTTAATGATCGCAAGTTAATGTTTTTCTTTGCATAAATGTTGTGCCCAAAAGACTACTAATAATTATTCAACTAAAACCATGCCCGATATGCGACCAGTAGGAGCAGCATCACAATTATCGCCAGCGCCAGTCCTCCCATCATTTGACATAACAACACCATCCTCCGCACAGACCTTCTTGTTGCATTGGCGGTCTCCCATGTCTCCTTCGATGTCTGGTGCAGGAGGTTTGCCGCCTCTGTCAAGTTAGTCATAGCCTGGTGCTAATATGCGAACCTTGCCTGGCAACTCTGTAGTTCGGCAGCCATGGACTTAACCCTTTATGTCTCGGCCTGCATCATGCCGGATGCTTGTCCTACAGATACCCCCGGAACTACATGAGGCGTCACCACCGGCTCTTGGCACAAGGGTCCTAGTCCTGCCCTCCTAGACATAGGGACACTCTTTCGTGCCGCTTGTCGAGTGCGCTCCCCACCTGGAACTGGCCGATGAACTACCATGGTCGCCTGGGGTAACTCGGTAGTAGGTGAAATTCTCGGGTGGGATCCATTAGTCGTCTCACTGGACACCTCATGATCCGAATCGGTGTCAACATGAGGTTCCTCCTCTCTAATGATAGGCGGGTTGGCCCGGTGACGATCGATGACATAACCCGACTCGTCGGCCGAGTATAAATTGAGAGATAAAGATGATGATGACATAGTGAAGCTGAGATAAGTGTGCACTAAGTCACTAAGGGTATATCTATAATCATCTATTATATGCAATGCCTATTCACACACCAAATATGATGCTTCAAAGGTTTTGAGAGGAAAATCATCTTAAACATATTCCCAATATAACCATTTCAATTATAACATTAATCTTTCCTTAATTAAACATAGGTGATCAGGCTTTGTTTAGTTAAGGTCCAATAATGCAATACTGATATACAAGCAATATGTTCAGAATTTTAAAAGTTATTTCCAGGTTTTGGCTATAGTTTGGGCTTTCCCAAAGAAAACCAATGTTCTCTATAACCTTCGGCTCTGATACCAAACCTGTCACACCCCGTCGCGGCGGAAACACGAGATGTAACAGCTAAAGGGTTTCACAACACAAGGTAGAAGACAACATCAACCATAGTAAAGAAGATAGTTCGAAAGTTTACAATGATACAAAGTTTCAACATTTCAAAAGGGAAATAACATGATTGCCAACACAAAAATAAAACAAAGATATGCAGCCACACGATGTGCGATTCCCAAAATCATACAAACATAATTAAGATCTTCAAAAAATAAGATGAAGAGAGAGAGTAGATCACCAAAAGTCTCTTGATTGATTGAGAGAGAAATTACAAGTCTAATTTCAGATTACAATTGCTAATGACTTGCTTAATGACAATTACAAAGGAAATTACTATTTATACTAAGAAAGGAATAAAACTACACTATTACAAAACATGCAAAATATGGAGAACTTGAATACAACAATAACGCACATACTCGAACCCAACATTCTTCCCCTTTGGATTCAAGTTCAGACTCTTGAAAATTTTGTCTTTCTAAGTCCAAAAATTTTCTCTAACCTCCTTAGAGCGTTCCTGTACTGAATCTTCTTCTCGAGCAGATTTATGGCATTGATCAACATATATCTTTCTTCAGAACTCATTCTCTCTAACTCTGCAGCTCTATCGTTGTTCACTCTTTTCAAGTCAAGCGCCCGTCTTACCAGCCTTATTGTACCATCTGAATACTTGTTCAACTCGCTGAATCTCATAAATTTCTTCACTTGAAGCTGAGCAAAGTATATGACTCCGAAATCTGGCTTTTCAACAATCATCCGAAATCTAACGAAAGGGTTAACATCCAATTGTTGTCTTAAGAGCCCAACCAAGTCTGGATCTTCAGCGTCAAAATTTTGAGAGGCCATCAATTTTGCGTACAACAGGGATTTAAGTTCATCTACTGTTTGCTCTTGTACCGACGGCTCAGGTATAGGTGGTGGTGATGGCGCAGATGGTTGCTCTTCCATGACTTGTTCTTTCCCCTTCAGAAGTCTTTTCAGACTTGCGATCTATGCATCCATATTTTCTTGAACAACCTTTAGGGCGCCGTTCAAATACTCCCGTGACACAAAGTCTGGTAAGCTAACACCTGGATCACTTAGATTACTAGTTGAAACAATAGTTGAATAAACTGTTGTACCTACGTTCAATGTTGGCATGATGGTAGCATTGGTAGGACTTTCGACCTGTCCTTGTGAAATGTCAAATGACACCACTCTGGTCGTTCCAGCAAGTTCACTAAGAACTGCACCCAGATGCTATAGACTCATGTGTACCTATGTGTATCAGTGCTAGACTCGAGGTGCACAGAATTGATGTCGTAGGCTGGGGCAGCGGCCTAACTTGTTTCAATAACTACGTTCTTCGAATAAGAAGTAGTTAGTGGATGTGTTATATCTCCGTGTTCAATTGAAATAACTGGTTGTTGAGAACCAGTTGAGTGGATGGGTGGGGTGTGCATTTGCATAGCTGGGCTAGCTATGTCTTGTTCAATACCAACATTCAACGAATGAAAGTCAGTAGTAGATGTGGGTGCCCGACTATGTGTTTCGGCTAGATAAGGAGCATGATATTCTTTTTGTGCTCCACTCACACCCTCACCATGTTCTTCTTCGTCCCTTTCACACATCCTCTCAACATTTTCAATTGTATCTCCCTCATCTTCAACACCTACTAGAATACGATCATATTCATCAAATTGAGCTCCATATTCTTCAACATCAAACGACAATGAATGTAGACTTGGACAAGTCTGTTGAGCATGAATTTCTGGAACTATGTCGTTAATATCATCAACCGATATTCCGACTGGAATATTTTGTGAATGAATGGTTTGAGCAAGATTGTCAGCACCATCATTATCATTATTGTCATCATCTCCATCATGATCACCAAGAGCCGCCTGATTATCAGTTTCAGTATCTTCTGAACTAGAAGAAGTTGTGGAATTTGAAGTACTATTAGTTGAAGTACTTTGCTGATCAGATCCCCCTCCGATTCACCCCTCTCTATTACATTTTCTCTCAGCACACTGCCCTGTTCAGGTAACCTTTGTTCCTGAACTCTCTCATCTATATCTAACCTTTCTCGCTCAGCTGAGGCATGGGGTGATCCCTGGGTAAGTTCAACCGGTTCTGGTTGAACTATAGGATCTATAACTCTCCTATAGTCTATCACACATTGAGCAGTCTGATCAGCTATGGCAAAAAGCTCTGGTGGTATTTCCATAATAGAATCCAAGTCCTCAACCTCTGTATGCTGTCGAATTCTAGACATGATGAATGTCGGCCCTTTTTCAGCATTGGATCTGGCCGGAATGTCTTCATTCACATTCATCATCGCCTTTATGATTAGTTGTAGAAATCTCTGGAGGGGCACAAATTTTCTTGCTTTAGAAGGAAATCGTTTTGCGTTCACAAGCTCCAGTAGTTCATTCTAGATGACTAGGGCATAGTCATAATTGTGCGAGAAGACTATTCCGTGAAAGAATTTTAGGAAAGAAGTATTGCAAGTATCTATCCCCGCAGTCTTGGACGTCAGACATCTATTCAAGATGGAGAATAACAGATGCTAGATAGATGGTAGAAAACGTCTTTTGAACTGTGTCAGATTAGATAACTCTGCTGAGTATCCCAACCTTTTGATGTCTTGACACAATTGGTTATCTGATACAAATTCTTCATATCCAATAGAGCCTGGTCTGGGAAGTCGGAGAATCTTTCTTAAACGTTTTAATGTCAGACGGCTGACATATTCGTCTACTACTCCTTCAAAATAAAGTCTGTCGCCGTCTTTTACCAGTGTAAGTGTACTCCAAAATTGTTGTAAGTACACCATTGGGATAGTTGAATTGACTGACAATGAGTAAGCTAGAAAGTGTCCTCTCAGTATTTCTGGGATTATCTGGTATTCAGCAGGCATATCAAAGTTAAAGGCATGGTTATTTGGCTTTATTTCGAGATTTTTGAATTGGGGAAAAAATGTTTAAGAGGGAA